CGAGGTGGAGTATACAGTAAACAGTAGACCACTAACTCACATCTCCGTGGACAGCAACGATTACGAGTCCATCACTCCAAATCACTTCCTATTGGGAGGATCAGCAAGACTGCTGACACCTGGGGTATTCAATGAAAAGGACATAAATAGCAAAAGGCACTGGCGACGCTCCCAGATACTCGCTGATATGTTCTGGCAGCGTTGGGTCAAAGAATATCTACCGGAACTGCAAAACCGGCGGGAGGCCCATGGTCGAGGCCCCGATCTCCAGGTGGGCGATCCAGTCCTCATTGTTGACGGCCAGTTACCTCGCAACACCTGGCCACGAGGAAGGATTGAAACTGTGTACCCCGTTGCGGACGGACAGATTCGCACTGTGGAGGTACGAACCGCGAACGGCCTAATCAAGAGGCCAACCAAGAAACTCGTGCCGCTACCGAAGTAAAAAGCAACGTCGCTCACCGAAATGGATGCAGCGCCACTACGATGAGATCTTCGCGACGCTGCACGGCGGGAGAGATGTTCGCGACGGTTTAAAGACTTTAAGCAAAAAGTGATTAAAGAATATTAAAGTGTTTTAAAAAGTGAAATTAGCGACAAAATCGAACAAATTGTGTTTTAATATAGTTTTACAGTATGTTTACAACTCGTAATATATTTGTATAAAGTATCGTTTTAATAATAAGTTGATATAAACGACTTTAAACATTAAATAAAATTTCGACCAATCACAGCGCAGCAATCGTGGAACTTTCTAGAAGTTAATTAACTGCGCAATAGTTTATATGAAAATAATGAGAATATTTTTATGTTCTGAGAGAATTGTAAATACGATATTTAGTTAGCATATGGTGTATAGGTTGAAATAAGTAAATAGATAATTTGTGTAAATAAACGCATTTGATAAATATAGTAAAATTAAAGATTCAATGTGCACTTTTGTTATGTAAATTAGGTACATTTTGATTAATAACTTTTTTGAATGTAACTATATCAAGTAACCCTTATCACATAATGATAAAGGACCAAAATGCCTCTTTTATAGTGTATAGCGTGTTAATGTAAAAATTAGCATTATATAGAAAAATTGCAATTTGTGCAAATTACGTAATGAAAATGTTTGATAATAAAAGGGCAAAACCGGAAATTGGCAAGCGGCTCTCTATAAAGTATAGCCGAAGTCTACCTTATGGGGGCAAATCACAGTAACATGGTAGTAGGAAGAACTACCAGTAACAAGCAGCAGTATCCGGTAGTAGCTGAAGTGACTAGTAGCAGAACACAGTGAAAAGTTAAAGTGAAATAGAAAAGTTTAGCTAGCCGAAAAAGGTCGTAACTGAAAAATCGCAGTTACACATAGTCGGAAAAAGTGGCAACTGAAAATTCTCAGTTGCACATAGAAAAATAGTGTCAGCTAGCCAAAAATAGTGGTAACTGATATTCGCAGTTACATATAGTGAAAAAGTGTTGGCTAGCTGAAAAAAGTGGTAACGGAAATTTCGCCGTTACATTTCGTGAAAAGTGTTAGCTAGACGGAAAAAGTGGTAACTGATATTCGCAGTTACAAAAGTGTTTAAATTCAACTAATTTTAGTTGATTAATAGCTGCTAGTCAGTAGTGTTAGAAAACCAGCTGCTACCAATAGAAATTTTGGATACTAGCAATAGAAATTTGTTACTTTCAATAGATATTTAAAATTACCAATAGAAATTGTAGAGAATACCAATAGAAACTTGTTACTGCCAATAGAAATTTGATATTACCAACAGATATTTTAAAAATACGAATAGAAATTTTAGAAAACCAATAGAAATTTTAATATTGCTGTGTGTTTAATTAAATCTGTGTTTTAAAATATATAGTGAACAATCATAGTTGAAAAAATAGTGATAAATAAATAACAGTGTAAAATCTCGCGACAAATTAATTAGTCGATCCGCTGGCCACTCCCTTGCTATTTTAATTTACAAATCGTGCATTTTAATTTTGAACCTCAGTCCACAGTTTATCCGCAGCAACCAAAGAGACGGCAGTGAAAGACGGCAGTTGGAGGAGTCTGGAACCTACAGGTGTAGGACGTGAGCGACTCGCGGGGTATCTCCGACAACATTTACTCCGGAGAGTTACGCCCGTCCGGCACAAAATTAGAGAAACAAATAAGCACGAGATCATCCAAGCGAAGAAGGTGTTAGCAGATTCAGTCGTGAGCCAAATCCGTCTCATCACACGTCACAGGGATGGACGCGGTAAGAAAGATCTGCAGGACATCTTCAGGCTGTTCAATGAGACCGACCCTGATGACATCCCAACTTTCGTCGCGCGTGGTCTCAACAAGCTCCCTCCCGTGACGTTCGATCACGTAGATGTGAACAGATTGTTGAAAGACATCACCACGTTGAAAGCCGATGTTACCGACATCCGTTCCAAATTTGAAGAATCGGAACGAGTCGCAAGAAAGCTGAGGAACGAAGTCAATTTGTTGCGAAACATAATTGCAACATCTGCGAATTCACCGCCGTCGCAGAATGTTAATACGACACGCGGTAACCGTAATAGTAGTCATATTTCACCAATGATTGCGACTCCGTCATGCGATACCGCCTGTCAGCGGGTTGATGACCGTCAAACTAGGGCGACCTCGGTCGTCATTGCATCACAACCTCAACCCTTGACTGAACCCATTAGTACCCCTCCGCCGAAGCCAACCTCAAAACAAGGGAAGACGTTTGCGGATGTTGCCCGAAAATCTTTACAACCGGCAACCTCTTGTGGTCGGAAGCGAAAGAACGTGGAAATAAAATCAGTTCCAGTGGTGACCCAAGACAAAATCGATAAGGACGGGTTTACTCTTGTTGAGAAGAGACGTCGGTCGAGACCCGTCTGTAACCAGCGTGGGACGGCCAAAATAAACGCGAGTACAACTCTGCGTGCTGTGGAGCCAACTATACAGCTCTACATCTCCCGTTTGGACAAAAGTACGTCAGGAGAAGACGTCCTGCGTTTCGTGGAAGAACGAAGCCGATGCCGCATTGAGGATCCGATCTCTTTATATTTGCAGCGTCTGGAGTCTAATAGGTCAACGAACTTCAAATCCTACGTACACCAGGTTCCTGCAAAACACAAAGAGACATTCCTCGCTCCCGATTACTGGCCCTCTGGGGTAGTGTTTCGCCGATACATGGACGCGCCAAAGAAAAAAGTTCCTTAAATAGTACTATGTCTCTATTTTATATATATTTTTAGGTTAAGGTATATATTGCTATGGGCCAATGTTCTTAATTTTTAAGTCCTTGATGCCTGAAATAAAGTTATTGTATTGTATTGTAAATAAACTCACAGTTTACCTGATAGTAATTGGATATTGTAGCCAATGGACACCTGCAATCAATCTCAAATAAAGTAATCGTTATGTTTAATAATATATTTATCTATTTATTTAGTTCTTGCTGTAATTTAACTAACAGATCGGAACACAGCAGAGCAGACACTGCTTCTTGCTAGCAGAAACAGTCAAGGGGATCGTATCGGCCTAGTCGGGCTCCTTGGTAGAAAAGGAGCCCTGTAACCCTAGTCTGTGGAATTTAAGTTTCATATTTTCGAATGAACATAACGTCATTTGTTGATATTTGAGCAGCACTTGGAGTAGAAAAGTTGATATTTCCCATGCAGTTTTTATTACTTTTATTTTAACTTTTTTTAAACAGTATAAATAAATTTCAAACGAGTACACAGTCCACGTGGTTGAAAGTGCACTGCCCATATATTTATTATCATTTAAGAAACAAAATGCAGATGCCTTGTCACCTCTGGGGACTAAGAATGCACCGTTATAAGTACAAAGGGTCGCCAGTTTTTGTCATGTACTATTTTTTTTATAGAAGTACGGGTGACAATAAGCATATGATATGCCTGGCGGTTGTAGCCCAAGTGACCTTTTAAAAGTATATCCAGTTATCATCACATACCATATGAAACAAAAAGAGCATTATGCTGCTATTTCATGCTGATATTTGGTGACAGCATGTTTCTCACCGATTCGAGTCGTCCCATTTCTTATGCAGCTGCATAACAAATGGGACGACTCGAAAATAAGACGCTGTAGATGCTCTACTTTTATCTCTATATCCATATTCTAGGAGAACACTCTTAATATATATTATATATAAATTTAAATATATATATACATACATACATCTACATCTACCAGTATCTTCGTTTGTGAATTAAAATGAAGATGCGTTGTCAGTCGTGAGGACTAAGATAGAATGTCTCTTTACCAGTAAAATGGGTATCCGGTTCTCTACACTCACTCACCATACGAAACACAGCAGCATTAAGCTGCTGTTTTACGTTGGTATTCTGTGAGAGCGTGATCGTTCCATGGTCAAGCCGACCCATTCGTGCTGCAACTATACTATTAATATAGCTGCAACATGGCTCTACCACGTCAGAAATAATATTAATTTCATACGTGGTAGACGTGGCGTCACGCTACAGCTGTGTTATAGTTGTAGCATGAATGGGTCGGCTCGACCGGTGTAGGACGGCGCTCTCACAGAATACCAGCCTAAAATAGCAGCTTAATGTTGCTGTGTTTCGTATGATCAATCTACAGAACATAAAATTTTGTTTTCTTATATTTACGCGAACACTATACATTTAAATAAAACTAGTTTTACGGATTTTATCGCGTATATTAATTTATTTTATATTTCGAGCACTTTACAGCACCCATAGTCACGGGGGGACAGAGGTGTTTGACGTCCCACTTTCATAGTTAACCACAGCTACCTCTAGAATAAAATTATTAATGTTTGTTCCGGGATCACTCCAGTCACTACATTAGATTTGATAGACCACAAATTTTGATGCTTAATTGAGAATAAATGTAGATGTCTATGGGTCACAGAATCTACTTACTATCATGTGGAATGTGTGCTCGGTTGTCACCCATATTCTATAAAAAAGTATTAAACATATAATGTCAATACTTCTTATAGAATCTACGCCGATGTTGTCCACGTAAAATGCGAGTATCAACGCCTTATGGAAGGCAAAACAGGTTCCAAATTTGGATTCTTTCGCGATCCTGTGAAGTTGTCTGAATTTTTAAAAAACTTTTACGAAGAATCAAAAGTACCACCTCAGGCTATTGAATACGTTGAAGCATTTGGTTCAGGTATATAGATTATAATATTTACGATAAAAAATCTTTTAAATGTCAAATAACTGTCTTTTAAAAAATGTTCTCTGCTACAGCTGTACCTGAAGCTGATAAAAGTGAATTAGAGGCGATTGATGCTGTATTTTGCAAGGATAGAAAAAAACAACTTCTTGTCGGTAGTGTTATGTCTAATATTGGCTATGGTGAAGCCGCATCTGGAATTTCTGCGGTTATAAAGGTAAAATCGTTATAACTTTTGTTTATGCCCAAATTTGGCCATGTTGAACGCCCTCCAATTGCGTTCGAGCTGTCGCGTCACCCGATAGTATGTAGGTGAAAAAACGCCGCCAGGTGGGGCGGCGGTGTGCGGCTTGTGTGGCTCGACGCGTGGACAAAGGGTTTTTAGTTGCCCACTGGTCGCGATGCGGGGAACCCGCGTAGCTCATTATCGCGGCCGAAGTTCACGTGACCGTTGTAGGGTCCAGATAGTTAGATTAAGTGCGTGTTACTTCCTTACGTGGATATGTGAATTTTGCAATATTTAACTTGTTCGGGGATGCGGAATTGTGCACGCGCGCGTCATGTAGATATACGGTCTAGGATTCGAACCGCGCATTCCTTGGTTGAGAGCTACTCCCAGTTGATTGTCAGGAAATCATTATAATTGTGCCATCGCGTTAAGTGCCCTTTTTGTGTGTTGGTTGGCTTGTTAGTTTACGTGTCAACGAGGCGTATTTTGAATCTTTTCGCGACGTGGTGTTTTGGTGTCGAATGACGGAACTTAGTTGTGTTTAACGCTGAACGGTATGACTCATTAAGAGATCGTTTTAATTCCCTATTTATAATTTTGTGATAATTGAATCCGGGACATTGAATGTCGAATTTGAACTACTGTTCTTACTGTGTCGTGTATCACGTGTTTGATTCTACGATTAATGTGGAGTTAGGCGAGTTTAAGTTAGTTAAATGTACAATGAAGCTAATAGACTGACATAGTGACAATGAAGAAAGAAATGTTCCAGCGGTGGAGCCTGCTGGAGCGATGCAGCATTGTGGGGCATCCTGGAACCTTGCCGCTGCTGGCCGCCTAAGTTGGTCAAGGTCTCAGATATTTACACATCACTGAACACTACTTGCCATTCACCTTACACCCACTCACGGCCTGACTGAGCCTTGGTGCGAAGTCAGCTTCTGATACTGGTACGTACTATGTGTTTCTAGCATTCTCCCATATAGCTTAGTGTTATAGGAACTTCTCCCATGTGGCCAATTGGGCCCGACCTGCGTCTGTCCGTCGAGGAAGCTGCTATGGGCCCCAGCCAAGACGACATTTGCATGGGCAGCTGTAGGCCGTAACAACTTTTGTTTATTAAAATAAGCAGAAAGTAATATTTTCTTTGATTTCTTAAAGTTATTATATATGCGCATAGCGCTTAACCTACATAAAATATTTAAAAAAAATCTTATAATATTAATAATATATAGTTGACTTAGCCTTTAGACAAAACTTTAAAACAATGGAAATTTAAATTAATTTATAAATAGTTTGAAAAATACAAAAGTGCGTTTTTTATCAACGTATCAATATAAAATGTTTTTTATGAAAATATAAGATGGATTAATTAGAGTGTTTTCTTGATATACGGTTACTCATATTATTATCGTATAAGTGCAAAATGGTTATGATAGAGGCATTTTAAGACCACGAAATTCCTTGACCTTGACGTGTCGAGAGTAATGCACTACCTAATAACTGTGATATTAGATGGAGAAATCGCACTTGTTTATACACACCAGTAAATATTTGGAAAATTTAGAAAAATATTCAGTATGTTTATTAATGTGTTGCTAAGAATCATTAGTTATCAATGAATTTATTAATTACTTTAACATTTCGGAGAGTGTGCGCAGGAATTACGTAATTTAACTACCCCTCTCCCTTCTACCATCGGACGACCAGACGTTCGGCCAGGCTCCACCCTTTCGTTGTTGACTTACCACGCATTCGAACCAAACGGTTCGGCACGTCGTTCATCATGCGTACAGCAAAGGAGTGAAATAAGTTGCCAGCATCTATCTTTCCATCCGATTACAGTGTGGGTGTCTTCAAGGCAAGAGTGAATAGGCTTTTGTTAAGTCAGTGCGCTTCACCATCTTGGCCTACATCATCACTTACCATCAGGTGGTATCGTAGATAAGCGCTGGCTTAGTAGAATAAAAAAAATTAAGGTTAATTTAGTTTCATTCTTTAATAATTTGATTTTAGGTTCTTTTGGGGTACCACAAAGGCGAGTTGGCAGCAAATCTATTCTGTGAAACGCCAAGACGTGATGTTGAAGCGTTGCGTGAAGGACGCATGCGCATCGTTACCGAGCATCAACCATTTGGCCGTACCTATACTGCCGTAAATGGCTTATCTCTTACTGGAATCAATTCCCATACACTCTTATATGGTCATTACAAACCTAAGGTAATCAATCAACCACAAATGATAATAATAAAAATTAACTCGTGGTTCCACTGGTATTTCGCATAGTATACCGACTGAAAATTTAAATAGACTACTTAAATACGTGGACCTTTCATTTCAATTTAGATCTATATCCAACTTGACATAAAGCTTACATTTCAATCTGACTTTGGTCCGAGTTAGTGGCTAGCCATTTTAGTGTTTGACTGCCCTAACTGTTAACATGTCTCTCGTATATGAATTGTATAAGGATATTCATGTTCAAGTAAACGAACATTTTTAAGTATTAATAGGTTATACAATTTAATACTACAATGTATTAGGCTTATATAAAAAATAAATAAATACGCCACAACAAAAGGTGGCGTATTTATTTATTTATTCATTAGAACCTATTGTCCTAGAAAAACTTAATATAAAAGCGTCAACTACCACAGATAGCGTTAAAATTTTGAGAAGCCTGGGGCTGCTGCGATCAGCAATCTGTTCAAATATTTATGAGATCTGATATAATAGACTCTGATACATTTATTATCTGTTTATTTGATATAATAGACGCTGATACAATAGATATTTACGCTTGGTCTTTGACAATGGTTGGTTGGCAACTGCAGTTTTATAAATTTGTTATAAGTTGTTATTAGAAAGAAGCTGCTGTCCATTATCTACTGGTTTGTTCCCCCCTGACACCTTTTACCATACCCACGGGAATATATAATAAATTAAAAGAAAAGGTGCTATTACACCGCCCTCTTACAATGCCACTACACTGTCAACTAACTCACATATTTTATATTCAAATAAAATTACAATAATTTTATTTAAAAATACTACTTATTTTATACGATATTCATCTTTTCCACAGGATTTATCTCGATACAAGTCAAACATACCGCACTTAGTAACAATTTCTGCGCGCCAAGACTCATCGGTTCAGAAAATTCTAGACGATTTAAAATCCCGACCTATCGATCCTGAAGAGCTTGCGTTATTGCATAACATCCATCAGACAAAAATTTCTGGTCATATGGGCAGGGGATTTACTATATTAGGTATGTTTATCAAGTCTGTTTATCCTATTTTATCCAAACCACGTTTAAATCGACACATAATAGTATAGTAAGTGATTTCATTACATCAGAAACTTGAGAAATGGTGGGATAACTATATTTTTTAATGAAATTGGACTCTCAAGGGAACTGGACAGTCCGCGTGATGTTAAATGGCTGCTTAATTTAATGTTTGATGATTAAAAATGGCTAAAGAAAAGTATTCGATCCAAAGCCTACAGTTTCCTTTTTCTAAAAGACGCAGCTGCATTCCCCTTTTTGTTAAGGATGTTCATAAGCCACGTTGGTGGTCACTTACCATCGGGTGCGGCGAATATTTGTTTATAAATTTCACAATACACGAGTAGCACGACTTCAATTTCCAATGGCAACATTGAATTAACCAATTGCATTTTTGTGCTAACTTACCACGTGCTCGGAATAAGGAATATAGCGTGAGTTTACAAAACCGTATATCTTAGAAAATAAAAATATTTTAAGTACATAATAAGAAGACGGATTATTCCCAGCTCGAAAAGTTTCTCAGAAGTGAAGATTTTCGAGCTGTGTCCAATTGCTATATAATATTGTATCGATTTTCGTTCGTAATGCCAACATTACTAGAAATCTTATTGACATAAAATATTAAAGCGTGAAGAAATATAAAATACGATCGAATTTATTATTTTTACAGATACAAACGCAGACCAGCAGACAGTAAGCCTATGTGAAAAAGTGGATTATTTTGACAACGCAAAAAGACCTCTGTGGTTTGTTTAAAGTGGAATGGGATCACAGTGGGCCGGCATGGGCACGCAGCTAATGCGTATTCCAATATTTGCTGCTGCTATTGAACGGTAGAATTAATTCTTTACCTTTATATAAATTCAATTAACATCCTGGATACTGCATTTTAACTATTCTGTTCAATGTTTATCAATATGAACTTTAAATTCTTTTTAACCGTTTCATAAAGGAGGTTCTCAATTCGAGTGATTTTTTTTGTGTACCTGGTGTTTGCAAAATTTTTCTGAAAACGAAGACAGACGATAGTACTAACGATACCTTTGATGATGGGTCAAAAAGAAAATCGATTCCGAGGAAAAAAATCATTTTGCACAACATTTTATTAGCTTTGTTCACGCTCCATCATATTAGTACAGCTAAATGAAAAGATAATTTCATAAAAAAAATCATGATAATACTTGAATAGGAATTTGATCTCTTTTTAATAATAAAATGCAGTAATTTGCTCAATCGACCTTTAGTTGATCTCTAAATTTTACAACGACGACCGGTACAACATTTTTTAAACATACCTACACAGAATGATTTCTTATATTTACGCGAACACTACACATTTTTAAATAAAACTAATTTTACGGATTTTATCGCGTATATTAACTTATTGTTATTACTATATACCTACACAGCTTACGGACTAATATTGGCATGAGAACTGCTAATATAATTTGACAGGCGCTTCAACATGCCCCCCGGCGTTGAAAGTCTACCTTTCAACCAGATTCTTCAGGTTAAGGAAGCGGACAAATTTTGCTAAATGATCGGCGAACTATACCAGTCGATGTTTTGATATCCGCCACCCTTGATACGCCGTCCGAGCCTGGATGGACTGCGACGGTGCGACCCATCTTCCACTTTAATGGCGGTGAATTCTCCTCTTTTAGGAGTACCAGTGAATTTAACTTCAAAGAGCCTTTACAGGAACGCCATTTCATCCGCAGTTGAAGCTCTGATATATATTCCTTGCTCCATCTAGCCCAAAAATGTTGACGTAATTGTTCTATTCGTTGAAATCGGGTTAAAGAGCTTACGGAATGATCTTTATAGTCTGGTGTCGGCAAGGAAGTCAAGGGGCGTCCAATCAAAAAATGACCGGGCGTTAGTGGTAGCAAGTCTTCAGGATTCGTTGACAAAGGTGTGAGTGGTCTGGAGTTAAGTATAGCCTCAATTTGTATTAATGTGGTATTTAGTTCCTCGTAAGTCACATTACAATTGCCCAGCACTCTAACTAAATGATATTTAATGCATTTGACACCAGCCTCCGCAAGCCCAGCAAAATGGGGAGAATAAGGCGGTATGAAATGGAAATTAATTCCTTCATTTGCCATTACCTCAGATAAAGAATTACAATACGTCCTAATAAATTTTGAAATGTCATTGTATGCGCCTACAAAGGAGGTACCATTATCCGAATAAATATTAAGAGGTTTCCCTCTTCTAGACATAAATCTGCGCAAAGCTAATATGAAGGTATTGCTAGTTAAATCACCCACTAATTCAAGATGAATTGACTTAGTCGCGAAGCAAATAAAAATAGCTATATACACCTTTACAATTTTACAACCACGGCCATGGCGAGAAACAGATTGAATTGGTCCCGCATAGTCTAGTCCAATATTTTGAAATGGAAAACCAGAAAGGATGCGTTGGTGTGGTAGGTTGCCCATTATTGGAGAGATGGTTTTTCCTTTCATTCTATTACATCTTACACATTGTCGATAACAAGATCTGGCCAAATTACGACCTCTAATCGGCCAGTACATCTCTCTTATAGTGGCCAACATTAGCTGTGGTCCCGCGTGCATTAACCTTATGTGCTCATAATTGAAGAGCAATTTGGTAAAATAATGAGTGGACTGTATAAGTATGGGATGTTTTTTCTCATAACAGTAATCGGAATTTTCAAGACGCCCTCCAACACGCATTATTTTATTATCATCGAGAAATACATTAAATTTATGCAACGGACTTTTAGTGGGTAAACTTTTATTTTTAATTAACATGGTGTATTCCTCAAATGATTCACTCTGAGATATTCTTATAATAACATTGAGTGCGGTTTGCAACTCTTGATTGCTTAGAGGACCGTGAACGGATTGCTTTCTACAATTATTAATAAAACGCAGCACATAAGCAACGGTCCGATTTAATCTAGTATATTTAGAAAAGCGTTTAAATTAAATTAATTTATTTCCACCTAAATCTTCATTGTTGCTAGAATGAAGTATTCCGTGGACGATAACATTTGACGATTTAATCTCAGGCAACTCGTGATTAATACTTAAGAAATTTGCAGGCCAGTGAGAGACCTCTTTCTTTAAAAATTCAGGTCCTGACCACCACTTACTCATGGATGAAATATCCTTACAACTCACACCGCGAGAAATATGATCGGCCGGATTACACTCTGTTGGGACATGCCTCCACTCGCAATTTCCAGTCTTCTCTAACATTTCAGCAACTCTATTTCTGACAAAGGGTTGTAGCTTGCTAGGTAACACCTTTAACCATCCTAACACGATGGACGAATCTGTCCAAAAGAAAGTGCGCTTAGCCTGTTGTCTCAGCGATGCTACAACCTTTTGGTAAAGGCGAGCTCCAACAAGTGCACCACAAAGTTCCAGTCTTGGGATTGTTATAGGTTTAAGCGGCGCGACACGACTTTTCGCCATCAATAATTGAATTAAAACCTCACCCTGATCATTAACACTACGCACATATAAACAGGCGCCATATGCTCGCTCAGAAGCGTCCGAGAAAATATGAAATTCAAACAAACTAGGCGAGTCACAAATAACACGACGTGGAATACGTAGAGTATTTAATTTAGGTAAATCGACTATTATCTCAGCCCACATCTTGCTGATTTCTGGCGTCAACTGCTCATCCCATGACAGCTTGAGCAGCCACAACTGTTGAAGAAGCATTTTCATCTTAATTACACAGGGAGATAGAAGTCCTAGTGGATCAAAAATCTGAGAAATCACAGATAACATATCACGCTTTGTTCTACCTGAGAATAGCCCTCCTATAGGGAAACAAAGTTGGTCAGTATGTGATTGCCAACCAAGGCCTAAAGTTTTAGTCGGTTCAAAGCCACCAATATTCAAATCAAGCGGAGAAATATCATTTTCACTAACCAGTTGAGATTCATTCGACTTCCACTTTCGCAAAACCATATGAGCTGATGCAAGTGTGGAAGTCACTTTACGGCGCAAATCTGTAACCTCGTTAATTTTATCCCCTCCCGTTAGCAAGTCATCAACGTAAAAATCGTGAATGATCACTTGAGCAACCTTGTCATCGGTACACTCTAAGCCTAATTGTTGGAGGCACCTAGTTGCCAAAAAGGGAGCACTAGAGGTGCCGTAAGTCACGGTGTTAAGTTGATAAGCTTGAAGCTGTTCTGAAGGGTTATCACGCCAGACAATTTGTTGCAAATAGCGGTCATCGGGATGAATGACTATTTGCCGGTACATTTTCTCAACATCAGCTGTGAGAACGTATTTGTGTAGCCGAAAGCGTAAAAGAATGGACAAAAGGTCGTCCTGTACCACGGGACCTACCATCTGTATATTATTCAAGGAAACACCCGAAGAAGTCGGACTGCTAGCATTGAAAACGACTCTTAATTTAGTAGTAGTACTACTTTCCCGAAGCACACCGTGATGTGGTATAAAATGCATCTTACGTGGTAAATTATCATTCTCACATTTCTCCATATGACCCAGACTTTCATACTCTGACATAAATTCTTTATACATTTCATAGACCTGAGATTGACCTGCTAACCTGCGCTCTAGCGATAGTAAACACTTTTTAGCTCGTGGCCAAGAATCACCTAATACGTCAGGATTATGTTTTAAGGGTATCCTCACGCAAAATCGACCATTTGCCAGTCGCGTGGTGTTTTTTTAAAAAGTGTTCTTCGCATAATTTTTCTTCGTTTGAATAAAGAGACGCAGGGCTTACCTCTTCGAGGTGCCAGAAGCGTACTAATTGTTTTTGTATATCTTCATCTAAATCTTTACTAGCCTCATCTTGAAATATTCTTGTAAAATTACATTTAATAAAGTTAACCCCTTTCTTTACATATCTATAATCTATCGGACCTGATACTAACCATCCTAAGCTAGTTTCACAAAGAATCGGCTGACCGTCCCCTAATTTTAATCTCTGCGTTCCTATTAAGTCCCAAAAGACATCAGCACCTATAAGCATGTCAACGGGAGCAGGTGAGTGAAAATTAGGATCTGCCAGAGAAATATTAGATGGAATTTTTAAGTTTGACAAATTAACATATCTAGTAGGTACATTTTGGGTTATTGATGGTAGGACAAAACAATGAAGATTACTAGAGAAGTTATCATTCAATGATTTTATCGATACCTTACAAATCTTCCTGATGTGTGCCGAAGCATTATTAATACCGACTACCGACTGATTTACATTTTGAGCGGGCAAACCTAGCATTTGATATAACTCTTCAGTTATTAAACAAGCGTTACTGCCACTATCAAGAATAGCACGAGCAATATATGGACAACCATTCTTACCTATAACTTTAATTAATGCCGTCGATAACAATACGTCGCCTTGTTCACTACACGATGCAGTGCCTACCTTTGCGGATAATGACAGATGTGCGTTAGAATTGGATGACAACTGTGAGCCTGTCGAACTGTTTGTTTGTTCGAAATGACCTTGCATAACGGGCTTATTATTACCATTACTCGTGTTAGATGTATTAATATCTGTAATTGGTTTTGACTGGTAATCTGCGACGTGCACGAGAGTGTTATGCTTTCGGTGGCATATTTTGCATCCTGGCTTTTTGCAGTGATTTGCATAATGTCCTGAATTAAGACAATTGAAACATACTTTATACTCTGGCAGTAACTGTAGACGCACATCGTTACTTAATCCAAGAAACTGAGGACAACTGCTTAACTTATGGTCACCCTTACATTTAGGAC